CACGGCAGTCTCAGAGCGGCCCATAGGCATCAGATTAATCACATGGTTCTCAGACAGACGCACATATGTGGCTGGAATCTGTCAGTGGAAAGGTTAATGAATGCAAAAGCAGAGAGGAACATGGGAAAAACAGCAACGAAAAGTCATTTCAAAAGAGAAAAAGATGTTCCTCTCAGCAGTCAGTATTTGAGGTCTATATACATACATACATTCAATTTCATTGACCTCATACATAACTGGCCTCACATAAACGTTCACGGCTTCTTGAAGATATCAGTCTATACTGCGTTGCATCAGATGGAGACTAGATTTATTACTTCCTGTAATCCTACATTAGGAAATTCATGCTTTGAATTCTCTAAAGCACATTTGTGTGCACCTGCTTCTATTATCATACTAGCAAAAAAGCAGAGTGAGGATGATTTACACATTACTTTTAAACCCTTGCAATTCTTCAAAAATTAAGCCTAAAATAGCTTTTTTATATTAAACAATGATTTACTGAACAAATTGCTCTTTAAATAAATTTAATTACAATTAAAATTTTCTTAGGGACAAAAATCTACCTCAGCTTCTGCTCTAAATTGCCGTGAGCCCTTTTACATTACTATAAGGTTACAATTAACAACAAAGCCCAAACTTAAATTCAATTAGGCCTACTATTTACTTTTATATAATAATCAACACTCAAATTAAAATTTTATGCAAACATGTAAATTGCACATAATGCAGTTTTTAAATTAGCTTCTAAATTATAAAATTACTATTAAATTACTATTTGTTGCTGAACTATATTCATTTACATGGTGGCTGTCATAACTTGTTTCATAAGAGATTTATACATACATTAAATAATTAAGACATCACTAACAGTTAAAGTAAAATATAATGAGTATAGTCTAATATTTCACGAAATGCTCTTCATTTTTCTAGTGAACTAACTGCAGCTGTGGACACTGACGACTTGCTTGAGGTAAATGAAATGAAACATGACATTTTGTTTACATTCAGTAAGATGTTTTACTGACGTCTTTCCATGGTTAAAACACTGATTGAGCGATTACATGAGATGTTCATTAATGTTTATTTCTCGTTAAAACTATAGTAAAGAGAAGGGGGTGATTGCGCTCACTCTGAGGAGTTTATACAGCGATCTGTGGCACCACATCAAAGAGCGTCAAAACGGCATTTATTGTTTGAATTTCCTGATAAAATGGATAGAATTTGAAAAATGTAACTTTGTTTCTTATCAAAAGTAACAACATATAAAACTAGAACTATCTAATGAAGTTCCTCTCATGCAGTGGTTAAACCCGCTCTGTATTTATTTGGTACACAAGCGTACCGAACCAAAAGACCCATACCGAAAATTTTCGGTACGAATACGTGTACTGTTACACGTTATACCATTATATTTGTTCAGTTGTAAAAATCCACCAAATCCAGATATTTCTGGTGTAGATGCATTTAAATAGTGTACATTTTGTCCCTCCATTATTTTTTTTCAACATACTTTGAAAAATGAACCGTACCAAAGGAATCAAATTTAATCTAATTGTGACCAAATTTTACAATTCACTAAGACATTTAGAGAAAAAAGCATATATTTACAGCCCTAATGAAAAATAATAATTGATGAGGAGCAGAGCTGGGCCTCTCTACATGCCTTCAGTCCCACTAGTGCGTCATTCTTACCCTCCAAACACACAAAAGGAATCTAAATCAATTCAGACAAACAGGACACAAACAAGCTTTAATAATTCATGAACCGGGATCCGGGTTCACTTTAACCACAGTTTTATGGCGATCATTATTGTTGCACATCTGTGCAAAGTCATAGATCCATTCAAGGGCTGCTTTGCTGTTTTCATGGCTTTGTACGTCATTTAGCCGGCATTTCTCTGTAGATTATTCAGAAAATATTGGTTTAATGCCACTATATCTTAAATACTCTTTCAGATACCAAAGACTTGTCAATGCAGACTACAGGACTGCACACATGAGAATGAATGTCAGTCAATGTCCTTTCAAGTTCATTCATCCTGTTTTTCATTCAAGGTCATCTTTTCATTGGTGTGAGAAATCTCTAACTAGCTGCTGTCCTGCTGCGCCATACTGTGTCGAAGACGTTTATTAAACCTCAGTCAATGTGAATACTGCGTTCTCCTGCCATTTTCATTTCCGCAATCAATTAATGTAGCTACTCACCTGCTCCCTCCCTCTCTGTCAGGCACCTTTAAAAGCTGATTAATTCCCCCCTCTGCTAGGTACGCAGGAGGAGAGCCTCATCTATCTTTCTCTACCTTGACAGCGTTCAACTGTGCCATGCTTTCCCGTGTTATGGGACTGAATGGACAGAGCCCTATTGATAACTCAATCATCATCGCTGGCCCATGTGAATGGAGACACTTGCCACCGCGAGGAAAAACTGTGGAATTCACCGGCTGATCGGCGATCCCTTGAGAACAAGTTCAATGACATTCCCTGAAGTCAAGAGAAAACACTCCGGATGGCATACTTGTCAGTCCTGTACACTTCTTTGCTTTCAGTGCTGTAATAGGCTACAGCTGGGAGGGATTCCTCTGGATGTCAGCCAGTCTTAATCCCTTTACAAGACCTGTCCATCAGACCACTTCTACATTTCCTGGACTGCAAGATAGCATACGTGTGCAAAGTGTTTAGGTACATTAACAGCAGAGGCAATTTAGTCAAATGCCCAGGCATTTTGACGTAAAGCCTGGAATTTGAGGATGATTTCCAGAGGATTCCATGCATGTGCACAGTGTGTGTGTGAGGAAATCATTTGTGCAGATAAACAACAAACTACTCAAGCGTCCGTTCCCTTGTAATGATGGGGTCTGGGGTCTGCTGCTAAACTACAATACTTCATCTCAGCCGTAAAATGCAGTGTATACCTGAATCCCACAGAGAGACATCTCATGCTGTAACTCATCTCATTCTTTGATCTAGACTTGTGTACTACATCTGAGAGAGAGAGAGCCAGAGAGATAAAGGGGATCATACAGAGAAAGAGAGAAAAAGAGACTGATAGAGTGAGAGAAAGATAATCATCTAATGAGATCTCCCCAGAGTGATAGTCCAGAGATGAGGAGAAATATGACATTATGTGACTACTATACAAATAATACAACAGAGGTATTAAGCTAAAATATAAAGGGCATAATGATCAGGCTTAGAAGAACAAGTCAGGATAACAGCAAAACATGCCACATCCGAATAGTAAAAACACCAATATTGGTATATTTTCAGCTTTTTTTGCCAAATCTCAAATGGTTTAAAATAATAATGCATCACATCTAAGCAGAGTTAATATTTTGCTCCAACCCTTTGTAAACACTTCTTTGATTTCTAGAGGCAGACAAGAAGTGCTGGCAGTGTTGATGATATGGTGAAAAAAAAAAAGCTGTTCAAAGGTTAGTTAAAGGTATAGTTCACCACAAAATAAAACATCTGTCTTTTTTTCTTTTTACATAAAATGCACACCATCCTATTTTTTTCCATACAACATCGTTAATGACATGACATTTGAGATCGACAATAGAACGGAAGATTTTCAGTGAATGACAACTTAAAATAGAAAAGCAGTGCACAAGTCATATGGACCACTGTTATGGCGTTTTTTTTTTTTTTTTGGAGCTTGACACCCCCTGGTCATCATTCACTTTCACTGAAAGGAAAAGAGCAGCATGAACATCCTACTTAACATCTTCTTTTGTGGTCTATGGAAGATAGAAAATCATTTCTAATGGCATGAGGGTGAGTAAAAGATTATTTTCGGCTGAACTCTCCTTTTAACATACAGAGCTGTGTCCGCCATTGCGTGAACCGCTGAGAGCATTGTCTATGTGTGTATGCATTTGTCTTACGTGTGTGATTTTGTATCAGGGTATGGATTTAACAACATCCCACTCATTTTGCAATCTGTAAACTTGTACGTTCTCAGTTAATGATCCCTCCGGAGCCAGCCGATCCCACAGAACAAGAGGCATGAAAAATTCAGCCAGCGTGCCCAATCCCTGCTGCAATTATGCATGAGCAGAACGGCTGGCTGAACAAAGCAAAACCCAATGCATATACTTTACATCCCATTCCACTGAAAGCCAGGCTGGATCTGTGCATGCTCAGCTCAGACGTTCACACTGTCTACAGAGCACTACATGACAGGCTATCAGAAGCCCTCCAGCTCCTTCCTGATAGTGCTCACTGTGATAATTCCTTAGCATCACACAACCGAACAAATCCACTGCAAAACTCAGACAGGGCAGAGGGCAAAGAGGAAAATTAGCCTATATAAGTCAAACATACATGTGCATTTCACATACTGGTAATGGTATATTACAAATGGAAGAAACAAATCGCTAAAGACCTTAGAGGATAAAATTGAATATAGAAATGGTTTATGAATCCCAAAAGATGTAACAATATATTCACATCTAGGGGGTTGCTAAACATTATAATTTAAGAATGAACTGAGGATGCACAATATATCTATTACAGTATTGGCCAATATTAGATTTGTATCAGTATTTGTTATATGTTAATTTCCTCTATTTTTACATTTAGAATGCCTTTGCCATCATCTAATGCTGAGTTAAGGTTAATCTTTAAAAACGAATAATTTAACAACACTGTTGAATCTAATCTTTAACAAATCTCAAAATTATTATCCATTCTTCATACTGTAAAAAAAAAAAATCATTTCAAATGACTTTTCAGTTTTTTATCTGTTTAATAATTTATTTAGACAAACGAATTTTAATAAATATTAAAATGATTTCTAAAGGATCATGTGCCACTGAAGAAGACCCATCACAGGAATAAATCGCACTGCACCAGAATTTTAATATTTTACATGGGTAGAATGAACCATTAAAAATCCCATATCAACTGAACAAATGTGATGAATATTAGGGGGGACGTGCGCACATACATGAAAAAAACACAACATGCTTATTAGTATACTATACTTAATTTCTTACCACCAAAGAAAGGGGCCTTTTCCATGACACCACTCCGATCAGTCCAGACAAAAGCACCTGAAACCGAAAGAAAAGTTTTTTAGACTAAAGAACAGAGCTGCATGTCTCACTGGGCCAGTTCAACACAAACACTGCCAAACTGCCAAACATCTCAAGCATTACAGGAGACAGAAAGAACTGAGCTCCATCACAGGTGAATTTATCAATATTTAATGTGCAAGGAATAATGCGGTCATCAGGATGGCAGGGGGAATTCTGCTGATATAGAAAATATCAATTAAATATCAAAATTAAATATCAAAAAATTGCGATAACATGAACACTTTTATATTCTCCGCAATACTTGTTCTTTCTTTCTGTTCTGTCTTTTTCTCCTTCACCCTTCATTAACCAGCAGCACTCCACTCCGAGGCAGTCTCTCTCTCTCATGCTCCTTCGCCCTTTAACCTCTCAAGTCCAGCAGGCCTCTCTCCCTCATTCACACTTTTTACCCATGGGACCTCAACGCTGTGCTACAATAACAGTGCCATCTCGCATAAACCAACAGGAGCAGAGCATTAAATGCAATATGCAATGGGAATGAAATGTTAGCAATGAAGCTAATGCTGTCAGCAGTTTAGAATGTAAATTCAGGTTATTAATAATGCTCCAGATGGAATTAAAACGCTTCGGCACATATAGTGCTCCATATGCAGAAGGAGGTGAATGCTGAGTAGAGTGCTGACTATTTCTCAGTCACTGAAATGTGTTTGCTGGCAAAAGAGAAAAAGAGATCAGTGAGACTGAGTCATCGATCGATTTGAAGATTATAGGATTATGCCATCGTGTGCAATCACACACAGCTATGGGATTAACAAGCACCAACATAAAGGAAAAGTGCAGAAAAACAAAGAAACAGGATCAATGTGTGATTCAAACAGAAAATAAAAGCAATGAAAAAAATTCAAAGAGAAAGCTTTTGCAAGGTCTTGTTAACCATGATTTGGTCTGCTAATTGGTCTGGCCAGGTCTAAATAAATAAAAAAATCACCAAAATAACAAACATTATATTAGTGCAGCAACGATAGCAAAACATAAAACACACTACATACATTAAATCCACTGCATTTACAGAAATTATGCGTGGGCCATTATTAAGACATTACTTCAACACAAATACATTTCTGTAACAAGTATGACATAAGATTATGTTTTATGAGAGAGCGAGAGAGAGAGAGAGAGAGAGTATGACATGTTCAGAGAGATGATGTGAGAAACGGTTCACATTGTATTTGCTCTCTTGAATTATTGATCCTCTTTCAGAAGCAACTGAGAGGGAGAAAGAGAAGGAGAAAACTAAACCAAGAGTGAGGAAAAAAGATGCTGAGAAAGAGTCAGTTAAAGATAAGATTGAAATGGAGGAAAGACCTGGCTGGTGTGTGTGTGTGTGTGTGTGTGTGGAAAGATTAGCAGCACAAAAGAGCTCACTGAGAGGAATATTCAGGCGTTGTGCAAAATCCTATTCCCTGGCAAAATCACATCCCCCTTTGGGCACCTAAACGATTCTATTGGCTGAAAGATCTTTTGGGGCTATTCTATTCAGTGTCTACTTTAAAAATGACACAATATTGCCTGCTGATGTATATACACTTAAAGTCGAATGAAATTTAAATTCATAATCTATTTTATAAATGCATCTCAATGAACTTAATGCAAACAATTTATCCATGATTTTTTTGAGCCTGTAAATGTCTATTTTTATAAACATTCATTTCATAAAATCTATTTTATGAATATTTTGTGAACAACACTTTTTTTGACTATGTAATTTTTAATCAAAATGTCATAACTCAATCTTTGGGCGAAATAACAGACTTCTCTGGGTGATGTACTATATGCCAGATTTTTTCAATCACATATTCCAGTTTAACTTCGCCCCTTTCTTACAATCGACTGCAAGCTTACATTCAGATCTGCCTCCATCCAATATCAGCTTTTCTTTTGCAATAACAGTGGAGAAAAGAGACGGTGCTACATCACAACTTAAATCATCTTTTTTTTTTTTAATAAATGATTAAATAAATGGACATTTCTAAATATTATCTAGTCACAATGTCCTATCTCATCATGTAACAGAAGTTAAAATCTAATTTAAAGGGGTGAATTCATACTTATTTTTTATTATATTGTATATTATATTAATATATAATGGTAGTAAAGTTTTTGAGGGTGATTATTGCTGCTGTTCTTCTGATAGTTACATTTACATTTATGCATTTGGCAGACACTTTTATCTAAAGGTGACTTACATTAAATTCAATGTACACATTTGATCAGTTCTTGGGAATCGAACTAATGACCTGCTAGTGCCATGCTCTACAGTTTGAGCTACAGGAAGGCGTATTATAAATAATACAGGCCCTCCATCACCCAAATATGTTTACCTTTATCTGACTCAGGGTTTACAAAAATGTAAATTTATGTACCGAGGGATGCGTCAGAATGTTTGTCTGTGGTAAATGACAGCATGCCACAGATATTGTCAGATACACACACACACACACACACACACACACACACACACACACACACACACATGCGTGCTTATGTG